TTATTTACCGCTTTGGGATTATTGCGGTATTTCAAGATAGGTTAAATTGAATTATTTGACTAATCATCGAGACATAATTAACATGCAACTTGTTGCATGTTAATTAAGCTCTAATTTCCCATTTACACCTAATCACCCCCCTCTAGATGTAGTAGGGTCAAATCTTGCGTTTCTCACTTTTAATCTTGAAGTCTATTGTTTTCACCATAAGGCTTATAAAATTCTCAAGTCGTATTACTGTTTGCATGAATGGATGCAACTAATGAGTAACAATAATTAATTCTCTTAATGATGTGTTTGGATGCATGGTGAAATGGACTTGGGAATGCTCAATAATGTTAAATTAGGTTCAGCTCCCTAACCTTTCAGTTAATATGGTTATAGGTCCTCAACTTTTAAAAAGTGAAGTTTCCAACTTGGGCCATTACTTGATAAATGTTTTTGCACATCGAAAACTGATAATTTACACTGTTTCCTCATTACAGCACGTGGAGATTATAATTTAGTGTACAAGACATCAATTTTTGAAGAATGTAAGATCTCGGCAATTTTGCATTGTGGTGTTCAAGATAGGAAATCAGCTGCTAGTAAGCGTTCAAGGCCTGAATTTTATTTGAAGACGAAGTCCAGCACGCAAAATAGTTCTACCATTTTCGTTGAGGAAGCACTTTCAAATCTTGAGATAGATGGAGTAAATATGGATAATGATATCGAAGAGTGATCCATTGCATCTTTGCAGAGAGATGGAGGCTCTTTATTTTCTCGGGTGAAGTTACTTGGAAACGGAGGGTGCTATCCTTTAGAAAATCTTAGAGCTGCTGCTGACTCGTTGTTCTTACAAGGAAGTTCTGATTTGGAGGTTGTAAAGCAAGCTATAGTATCCTTTCAAGTGGTATTTGGTTTTATTTTGATCATTCATATGCTTAATATTGGAATTAGCAATCGTGTCATCTCTCATGTAAGCCTACATTTGTAATTAATTGTGTATTAAATGCTATCTTAAAGTTAAACTCATTTAAAGTGATCCTAAAATTGTGGACTTTGGACATCTAATATGGTATAGGCCTAAATATGTTTAAAGACCATATTCCTTTTGATTGTATTTCATGATGGACCGAAATACATATGAAAGATATATATAGAGTTATCCATTGCATCTTTGCAGAGAGATGGAGGCTCTTTATTTTCTCGGTCGAAGTTACTTGGGAACGGAGGGTGCTATCCTTTTGAAAATCTTTGAGCTGCTGCTGACTCGCTGTTCCTTCAAGGAAATTCTGATTTGGTGGTTGTAAAGCAAGCTATAGTATCCTTTCAAGTGGTATTTGGTTTAATTTTAATCATTCATATGCTTAATATGGAAATTAGCAATCGTGTCCTTTCTCATGTATACCTACATATGTAATTAATTGTGTATTAAAGGCTATCTTAGAGTTAAACCCATTTAAAGTGATCTTAAAGTTAT